TTTCTTTCTTTCTTTCTTTCTTTCTTTCTTTCTTTCTTTCTTTCTTTCTTTCTTTCTTTCTTTCTTTCTTTCTTTCTCTTTCCTTCTTTTTGGTACCAGATATCGAGCTCAGGACCTTGCACTTGCGAGGCATGCAGCGGCACCACTGAACTAAATCTTGGCTCAAAATCAACATTTTCAATATTAACCTCTTAACTGCTTACAAAAATCTTAAAAAATAACAACAGAAGTAAATTCCTATGTGAACTACAAACAAAATTCTACCACAGAAATGATCTGTGCTTCAACTGTTACACCCAAGGCAGTCTTCACACATGAAAATAGCATGTTCCACACACAGTTATCACTTACACTGACAGCATGTGTGTTCTGTTTTCCTGTCTCTTTTGGTAGGACACACTTGACATCTTATTCATCTTCCTGCTTTCTTTGGAGGTTCGTGTGGGGCTCACCTGTCCACTGGTCCACCCCAGAATTCTGTTGTGGGGTTCTTTGGGCAGATACATGTTGTTCTTCCTCTGTGTAATTGATCATTTATCAACTCTTGTCCCAATCCTCTAAGAAAATTTCTCTGTGATATATTGTGCTTGTAATTTTCTTGGTAAACTATGAAAATATGCATGACGTGTTTAGGATCAAGTAAAACACAACTATTGGCCAATGCTTTGTGTTTTGAGTGATATAGTTGCTTCATAATTTGTCAACAAGTTACTATGCCTTTCAATTTTGTTGTAAAATGTGAACATTTATGGCTTCATTATCAGTCTTTTTTTGTTTGTTCTTTGCTTTGAGATAGTGTCTTGGTTTTGTAGTCCAGGCTAGCCTTGAACTCATTATATAGCATAGGCTGACCTTGAACTCACAGGATCCTCCCGCTTCAGCATCCCAAGCACTGGGATTGTAGGTGAGCACCACCATGCCCAGTTTCACTATCAATCTTTTTATTGAGATAGAGTCTCACTGTGTAGTTTAGGCTGGCCTTGAACACACTATCTAGCATAGGCTGGTCTCAAAATCAAAGCGATCCTCCTGCCTCAGCCATCCAAGTGCTGGGATTACAGGTGTCTGCCACCATGCCTAGTACTGTCAATCTTATTATCAAGGTGTAATGTAGACAGTAACAATACTACTTTGTTTTTCTTCATCATATAGGAAGCCAAAGTTATTTCTTTCTGAAAGATTGTGTATACATTTCTCTATTGTGAACTTGTGACATTTTTTCCAGGAATTTCTGATTTGTTCTTCAAAATAGTTTCTGTGCTGGTCAACTGGTGTTCTTTAAGCAAATGTAACATCAATAAATAACTAGTAAACCAATTGTCAAATGTGATGTTTGGGTCACTTTTTGAAATAGATGCAACAAGTCTGTTTACAACACCTTATAGTTTATTACTGCATAGATAAAGACGCAGTGGGCAAGTTCCAGGATAAATTTCTAAATTCAAGGTGGATAATATCATTGCATCTACCAGGGCACATACTTTTACATCATATTTGGAAGGCTGATTTAGCATATATGGCCAAATGCTTCAATAACCACAAAATAATGCAAATTGTTCATTGATTTGTCATTATTCAGACTGTGTATAAATTGCTTGAGTTTGAAACAAAGCCTTAAAAAAATAAGCAAATAATAGCCTAATTGTTGGATTTTTTTTCTTCCTTGGCAGGTCTTTTTGTTGTCAAAACACAGGCAATTTTGAAGGAAACCAAGTTTCTTAAGTGTCATTATTATTCTAAAAATCTCAATGCCACATCTGTCACTTCTCCATAAATCCTTTAGATTCTGATGATTATGATAAAGTCCTATTTTGAAGACTTTTAAGGTATCGTGTGTGTGTGTGTGTGTGTGTGTGTGTGTGTGTTTTCCAGTACCAGGAATGGAACTCAGGACATTATACTGGCCTGGCAGGTGGGGCACCACTGAGCTAAATCCCTGGCCCATACATATTTTTTTGAGTATTACTGTTGATCCATATATAATGTATTATTTGTATACTTCAAAACATCTTGCAGCATATCATCCATTATAAACAATTTCCATTCATTAGGTATTAGTATTCCAGTACCTATAGGAATTGGCATCCCATTCAATAGATTTCACTCGTGGCAAGAACCTAATAACATTTTCTGATCTAGTTCTTTTTTCTTGCTCTCTCTCATTGAGTTTATTGGTACATTTTAGGTATGCAGTACAGTTACATTCATCATTGGGATCTTGAATCTTTACATAACAGGTCTTGGTTTCTGATCTAGTTCTAATGTTAGCTTCTTCAGGTATATGTGACCATTTTGCAGCACTTTGACTAGTCAAGTATTTTTTACATTACTGCTTTCTTCCTCGTCTGAATTCAGGGGTTTTCATTCTGTGCTTCTCATCCATCTGCCACATCTCGCTTCATCTCACTGTGCCAGCTTCTTTGGCTTACGTGAGCCAAGTCATTGTTGGCAGCTGAACCACTTGATGGCTCACTTTCAACCTCCTCTCAAAGTTGTAGAAGTGGATTTCCATGTGACATTGTACTGAATTAGCCTAATTCTACGAAAAAAATAAAAAGAAAACATTTAACATAGCAAGTTATAAACACACAAAAATGTGGTATGGCATGTAATATGGGTAAAACTCACCTTTTTAGACTTTGACACATGTACACACAACTTGCTGTCCATCCTACCACATGGGTGAGCACAAAGATTGCTTCCTGTACCCACCAAGTGCAGCTGCTGAGATGCACAGCCTGCTATCGTTATGTTAAAGGACACATTTTCATTTTAAAAGTATGATTGGGACGGTTAGGGTATTTTTTTTTTACCTTCCTTGATGCTCCAAGGATTTCCTCAGTGACTTATGGGTCCTAAATGTCCTGTGTGCTTGTGTTTGTTTTTGAACTCTTGGGTTTATTTCACTAAACTGTCCCAAATGTCACATTGCTCTAACAACAATTATTTATATAGTTTTAAAATATATACATTAGGGGAATTCTCTGCTTCAATTTTCTCCTTTCTGCCTCTTTCCTTCTTTCTTTACTTTCCTATTATTTTTGGGGGGGGGAGGTACTGAGGATTGAACCCAGGGCCTTTGCACTGAGCTATATCCCAGCCTTTATTTACTTTTTGAGAGTCTTTCAAAATTACACAGGCCATCATTCTGCCTCAGTCCCCCAGAGTGCTGGGATTAAACATGTGGGTCATGAAGCCCCGTGTTTCTGGCTATTCTTGAGAATTATGTGTTCCAGGGGACTAAAAATTTAGGATCATTTTAGCAATTTCTTTAAAAGGTCCTGTGGCCGCCGTGCGTGGTGGTGTATGCTTTGTAGTCCAGAACTCAGGAGGATCACTGTGAGTTCGAGACCAGCTTGGGCCACATAGTGAGACTCTGTCTCAAAAAATGGAAAGAAAAAAAAAAAAATCTGTCGAGCTCCTGGCATGTTCTACAGCCAAGGTCTGAGTTCTCCCAGGGTTGGGAAGGCTGCCCTGCCCAGGTTGCGCGGGAGCCCTTCCCGCCGTGGGCGGGACCACCGAGAAGAGGCTGTAGCTGTCAGAAAGCGGGGACCCGCGGAGCTGGGACTGTATGTAGCTCAGTGGTACAGCGCTTGCTCAGCAGGGGCGAGCCCTGGGTTCGGTACCCAACCTGCATTTAAAAAAAAAATTAGGTAGGGAGTCAGAGCACGGCAGCGAAACCCGGGTCTCCACCCCGTTCCGCTGCCACCCAATATGCTGGCTCTCAGCTCCCTCCCACAACCGGGCGTACAGGGCGGACTCTCCGCAGCCTCCCCCCAGCACTTGGTCCAGTCCCAGGCCAGGCCCACGCAAGCCCCGCCCACCCCCTCCAGGTCCTTGCTGTGCTGTGCCGGGCGCCGCCCAGTCCTGGCCCCGCCCCCTGCCGCCTTCTCCAGGGTCGCTCATCTCTTGTCCTCGCCACCGGGCTGGCCTTCTAGCTCGCTGGTTGAAGTCCAGCAGCTGAGTCGATCCACAGATCGCGGGTTCGAGTCTTTGCGAATCTGCGCGTCCGCTCCGCGCAGCTGCTGCGGCGCCCGTCCCGGTCCTGCAGACGTAACCGTTGCGGACAGGGAGGCCCGGGCGCGCGTGGCGAATCTGCCACAGCG